CAATAAACTATGAAGTAACTTTTGGTTTTGGCAAACATTTAAAATTGGATACTTGTGTGATTTACTTACACATGGGTGTGTGAATTTGACATTATTGAGTATCTAAGGCTTTTCTGGGCGAATTAAAATAGTCATCAACTGTACGGCCTCCAAATCCTTTATTGGTCTGTTAATTTTCTTCTAACTCGTCGTCGGAGAAACATCATTTTCTGAAAATGTCAAGTTTTAAAAATAAAATACATAAATAGGTACCAAATTCATGGATTATGTTAAATGATTTTACCTCTTAGATGCGATTTACTAGTCGTGCTCAGAGTAGTACCAATGTTGCTGTAAAGTACTAACATTTTTTTTACTTCTCTATCCCAGACAAGTGGTTTGGATTATGTTTTGAGACAGCCTCTGACCATATTTACTAATTTACTGGGAATTGTTTACAATCACTAATAATTGAGAAATGATTACCGCTGCAGATTCTATGCCAGGTAGAAATCGTGATAATTTGAACATAATATGTAGTCATTATTTCCTTTTATTTCATTGATTTTTTGGAAATCTACCTATATTTGTAAACAAATTAGCAAATTAGACTGACTCCACAGTATTAAAATATATAATCAGTACAACTAGAAAATAATACTTACAATTGAAAATTAACGTAATGTGGCGAGGCGATACATTGGATGTTTTACTAAAAAGAATACACTTATCCATGGTGATTTTGTACCAAAATTTATGAATAGTACTCTGTACCTACGACCGTAGTTCTGTAGTCTGTATTTTTGTTCGAATTTCAAATAATCGAGACTCGCGAGTGATTCAAATTTTAAGTCTACTTCGAAAAAATAATAATATTATTATGTTGTTATTTATCTGATAACAATTATTACTATCATAGTTCGTGGTACATAGTGATAAGACAGAATCGCGGGCATTAAAATATTACATTTTACCGAACTATATAGTCCGAAATTTCGTGAACGATGAAGCTCCACGAACCACGATTTAAGACGTAACACGGGCATTTTACTGTCTCCGTCTTATATAGCAAAATGTACGATCAGCAGATCACATTTAGCATCGTCAGTTCAAAAATTAGAGTGAATCGACCTATATTGAAACAATTAGCAAATTTACGTTCTGCGTAATAAAATTTATTATTTGGGTCTGTGTACACGATAAGTAGTCGAAATATTGCTTCGCTTTTCATCTTTTCCGGTGGCAAAGTGTATCTAGTAGGTGCATAGGGCATGTCGAAATGAACAGTACCTACCTAGTCTCCAAAAGCGGCGGGAAAAACGAAAAAAAAAAATATAGGAAAACGTGAATTTTTACGTAAAATCGGTTTCGGTATTTCGTGTAAGTGGTGTAACTATAAATTAAATTACTGTAAATACATGCAAATTCCATTGATTGTCTATGTTGGAATCAAAAACTATAACATTTTCAAAATATTTAGATTCATGTCGAGGTATTCGTTATATGCATACGAAATATTCGTTTTTTCTTAATTATCTAAAAATTTTTCGCTCGGTCCAATCACTTGAGAATGTAATACGCCTACAACGTTCCTTGCAAGTCATACAATAGTTTTTCATGAGCGTCTGAAGTTAGAATTTTAACAAAATTCGTAAAAATCACGAAAATTACTATTTTGTGGTACACAGTGATAAGACAGAATGATTACCAAAACGGTGGTGCTTCTCGCCGGTCATTAAATTTTACCGAAGTCCGAAATTTCTTGAACGCTGACATGGTCGTTTTATTGTCTCCGTCTTGTATAGCAAATTTACGATCAACAGATCACATTGAGCATCGTTCGTTAAAAAATTACAGTGAATCCGACCTGTATTGAAACTATTGGCAAATTTACGTAATAATTTTTTTATTTAGTGTCTGTGCACGATAATAGTCGAAACAATGCTTCGATTCTCATCTTTACCGACCACGGGCGGATATTTGGTCACATCCGGGGGGGGGGGGGATTAAAATTTTTGTCTTATCCACTAGCGTAAACATACATTTTCAAACGATTCAACCTACCAACTAGTGGCTAGTGGCTACTCAGTACTCCTACTTTATTGTAGCAGAGGCACCAAGTATATATAGGTATATTAAAAATTTATTTTGACATCTAGTGTGGTTTGTTACATTCTTAAGCCCCCCCCCCCAATAACCACCTATGGTGCTCACATCCACTTACATTTTTTTTTGTTTTTCCTTTTGGAGACTAGGTACTGGGAATTGAGACCATGATCACCTTTTAAAGTTTTAAATAGACGTAACAGACTATAGGTTAGGACCCAAACTTTTTTATTCAAGGGCCACAAAAAAAATCAAATGCTCTTAGCAGGCCAAAAGTTTATTAACACATATAATTTTTAATTTTATGATAATATATTAGGTACCTACCTATATAAATAATATGTTTACTTTATATTTTTGTATAAAATATTGTTTACTTTACAATATATTTAAATAAAAATAAATAGGTATAAATATAATATAATATAAATACATTTTTGAAATCATTTTTTTATCTATATTTACCTATGCGAGCCACGGGCCAGTTAAAACTTGTTCGCGGCCCGTAGTTTGGATACCCCTGGGTTAGGACACAATTTTACCGCCACCGCCAAGACAAAAGAATTTTACCTTCACCACTACTGCAGTGTGTAGCGACCTTAACACGATCATTTACTGTACCCGTCTCAGATAGCAAATTTTTGTTCATCATTTAGCAAATTTAGTTTTAAAATTATGGTTAAATCTGTTTTTTTTTTTCATTATGGTTCAATTTTTTATCAAGTTTTGAGTATATATTATAGGTTAAATTAAAAATGCTTATAACTTAAAAACTGAATTATAGTAAAATCCCACACACAAAATGTCCATTCACTCTAATCTTTAAATTAACAAAGCTAAACGTGTTCTTCTGAGCACAAATTTGCTTCTTAATAATACAAGCTACGAACCTATGGATTCTAAGGTGCAAAGTTAACGTCAAGATTTAAAATAGATTTATCTATAAACCTTGCCCATGGTCGGTGTTTAGTATAGAGATGACCTTTACATTGTATTATATTATTCATGTCAGCAACCTAACGCATAGCACAGGTAGTATGAAAAGTTGCATAAATTCTGTACGTTTTGGACACCAAACAATATTTGATGTAAATAAAATATAAATGCAATATAGGTATTTTTTTTTTTTTTTTTTTTTTTTTATTTAAATTAAGCCTCGGCAACAATGGCCATTGGCAACAATGAGTTTAATTCTAAATTATTTACATATTGTAATTTACATATCAAATACTATTTATAAGGTTGGACTTATTAATAAAGATTATTATTTGTCTTATGTTGTCTGGGTGGAGGGCTTCTGACAGAATGCTTGAGATGCCTGCTTCCCGTCTCTCAGTTTCGTATGCAAGACATTCGGTTATGATATGTTTTATTGAGAGAGGGGTACCGCAGCTGGCACATAGGGGTGGATCTTCCTTCTTCATCAGATACTGGTGTGTTAGTGATGTATGTCCTATACGGATTCTGTTGACTGAGGTTTCCATTTTCCTTGTGAAGTCTGGTGGAGAAGGCCATGTGTGGATGGTATTTTTAATTTCGTTTAATTTGGATGTACCTTGTTTCCATGCCCGTAGCCATATGTTGTTAGTTATTATACTAGTTATGAGTTTGGCGTCGTGTAGAATGAAATGATTAAGTCTAATGGCATCCGTTGATGTAATTGCTTGGCGTGCTTTTTGGTCAGCTCTTTCATTTCCCTGAATTTGATTGTGACTGGGTATCCATAATAAGGTAATTGAGTAGCCGGTGTGTGTAAGGTTATAGATCTGGTTCTGGATTTTCCTGGAGATCTCGTTTGGATTGTAGATATTTTCAATACTCCTCAAGGTACTAAGTGAGTCACTGAGGATTACTGCTTTGTGTATGTGATTAGTTTTAATTAGGTCTAAGGCAAATGAAACTGCAGTTGCTTCAGCTGTGTATATTGAGCAAAAGTTGGGGAGTCTCAGCATAGATATGTGGTCCTGGATTACTACAGCTGCTCCAACACCGTTTTCCGTTTTGGAACCATCCGTATAAATTTCCGTAAAATTGTGGAACCCGGAGATGATTGAACGTAGATGTTGTTTGTAAATTATGGGGGCGGTGTCGTTCTTCGAATATTTACTTAGTTCTCTGTTGATTGGGATATAGGTATTATATAGGTATTATGTTTAACTATAAAACGCAAAATTGAATTCCAAATTTTCCATTAAAATCGTTAGTCCTTAAATTGAAAATAAAAATGAGTCTATTATCGAAATATGCAGCAGTTTCAGTTTAAATTAGTATGGTCATGACACAAATTCTGTGGTCACTTAGCAGTGTGGAATCATCCAGAATAAATATGCAAATGCATACCAAACGTGCTCTAATTATAAAAAAATGAATTTAATAAAAACTGAAATGCTTATGTTAAAAAGTTGAAATTAACATTAATCACAAGGTTTACTTTAAAGTTATGCAATATCCAGACATAAAAAACAATTTGTTTACTACAGTTAAATCTTACATTATATTACAATTTATTTTCTCTTATTCAGTAAGAATTTATCTAGTATGTAAACATAACCGCTGCTATCGGGAAATTAAAAAAAAAAGATCAAGTATAACAATAAATTACAACAAATTTGTCATATATTTCTAAATTTTAAATTACAATTAAACTATAAAAAGACAAAAAGCATGATAGTATAATTTATAAAGATTTTAAATACTTTTCTTTTTCATTATAAAATTTAAAAATAAAATTTTCTTATAATTATATATATACGTCATCGACAAAATAATTTTATTCACAAACATTATTCAGAGTGCATAGTGCGGCTTGGTTAAATAATGTAACTAATAACCCTCTGATGGGTGGTGGGGGGGAACATAGAATAAATAAGTACACAAATAAAAGGAAATACTGCGGCTGTCAGATTATACTTAATTTAAAAGTCTTGTTCAGTTATGTCCATTGTCGACAATTGAGGAGTTTCAATAACAGCCACTGAAGCTTTTTGATAGTCGCCAACCCTTTTTTCAAAGAAGTTTGTCTTTCCTTGTTGAGATATAAGTTCCATAAATGGGAACGGGTTTGAGGATCTGTAAACCTTTAATTTACATATTTAATTAAATTTGAAAATTAATATTACTATGATAAATAAATATACATACTGCAGGACATCCCAATTCGTTTAACAGCCTATCAGCAACAAATTCAATATACACGGCCATCTTTTCACAGCTCATGCCAACCATCCTAACAGGTAAAGCGTTCGTCAAAAAATCTTGTTCAATAGTCACGGCTTCACAAATTATATGTGTGATAACAGCTTGAGGTGGCTTTTGATCTAAATGTTTAAATAAGAGACAGGCAAAATCGGTGTGTAAACCCTAAAAAAACACATTACATTACACATATGTATTATAATATTAGCCTTGAAAACGTTAACATACCTCATCTCTAGAAATCAGTTCATTGCTAAAAGTTAAACCTGGCATTAATCCTCTTTTCTTCAACCAAAATAATGCAGCAAAACTTCCAGAGAAAAATATACCTTCAACAGCAGCAAATGCAACTAGCCGTTCACCAAAAGTTGCTTTACTATCACTGATCCACTTAAGAGCCCAATCTGCCTTCTTTTTTACACACGGCATAGTTTCAATAGCATTAAATAAAAAGTCTCTACATAAAAAAATTAAATAAAAATAATTTAGTCATAAATATCAAGAAAAATTAACAAAAAAATAAACATACTTTTCTTTTGGGTCTTGAATATATGTGTCAATTAATAAGCTATACATTTCCGAATGGATATTTTCCATCATTATTTGGAACCCATAAAAACATCTAGCCTCAGTTACTTGAACTTCTTGAGAGAATCGTTCAACAAGATTTTCATTGACAATGCCATCCGAAGCAGCAAAAAATGCTAATACGTGGGATACAAAGTGACGCTCTTCGTCAGTCAATCTCATCCAATCTTCAAGATCCTAAAAACAAAAGTCCACTATAATTAGAAAATTACTTTCAATCACTTTGATGAATAAGAGTTTACCGATTTCAAATTGACTTCTTCTACATTCCAAAAAGAAGCTTCTTGTTTTTTGTACATGGCCCAAATATCATCATATATTATCGGGAATATGACAAAACGTCTCGGATTATCTTTCAGTAAGGGTTCGATTGTTGCATCAAAGTTTGCTCTATAGGCAGACACAGATTCAAAAAAGTTTTTATTTGTCATCTGAAAACAAAATATATAGTTAGAATACAAAAATGATTGAATAAATAATGTGGATAATATAAATGCAATATAATATAGTCTTCAATGTGATTTAAATTTGAAACCTACTTATGTACCAATTAATAGTAGCACTAGCAGAACTGGGTAAATAAATAGAGGGGGAAATAATTAATTGACCTAAATCAATACCTTGATCCAAACTTTCCCACCAGTTTAAGTGTTTTTGATTCTAGAATTACATAACATAATAAGACAGGGAAGATTATCTCTAAAAGGTTGAAATAACATGATTTAGGTTAAGCTTTGTTTCTTTATAGTGTATTTAAATTATGAAGTGTGAATCCAAGTCAGGTGGTGTCCAACTGGGAAGTGTACAATACACAATGTTCCAATATCTGCATATTCAAATTGTCGTAAATCAAAAACCAGCAAATTTTTTTTTAAATGTTTAGTTGCCTGGATATAAAATTAAATTAAAAAATCACAAGGGAACCTTTCTGTAAGTGCATCATGTAATTAAATCAACCATGGTTAAATTGTCGAAAGTACAGACTGGCACATAATGGCCCACCGGGATTCTGGGAAAATCCCAGTAGGCCCCTTAAAAATTATAAGACCTGGGCCCCCTACCAAATATAGGTACTAGTTTCAATTAATGAATTTTATTAGTATCTACTTAAGTTATTGATAATGCAATTTTTGGCTTACTAGCGTTGGTTTTGTTATTATACTAATACGTCTTGTTCGTCAAAAAACAAATATTTTTACTTTAAAATTCTTACGAATTATGATAAGAACTAGACAGTCGTAAGGGAGTACACTGCTTCTGATTACATAATAAAGTTAATTATAAATTGCTTGGATTAATAATTATTGATGATTAACCTAATATTAGGTATACGCTTATATTATTTAATTTATTTGAATTTTGTTGTCAGGATACTAAAATAACAGTTTGAATAAATTGAAAATAGTTTATTATGTTAAAATTATTTTAGGTTTGGTGAGTCGAACCTAGTATATTGCTGTTATAGGTATTCAATAAAATAATAATAGTATGACAGGACTTTAAAATAAGTACACAAAAAAGTCTGATGTGAGGTACAACTATTGGTACAATGAAACAGTACATATATCTATAAATACTCTTTTAAATTGTTAAATTATTATTATTATCCCTACGTATCTACTGTTGGTCGTGTTTAGTAGGTAACCTTATTTATTATGAATTTTGTCTATACACAAATGTATAATGTGCAATAATTTATTAAAAACTATTAGATAATAATATTATATTATCTATTTGTTGATCATTAATAATTTAAGACGCTCTCCAGCAAGATAGTACGCATAACATTTTCCTCAATTTTAATAATTATTTCATTCAATCACTTTGAATCATATATTATTATCACCAATCAACCAGAATGTTGTTGTTTTACAAAATTAATTTATTCTATTATATTATATGTATACATATATATATATATATTTTTTTTATAGAACTGAAACCCAAATATAGATTTGGTTTATTATTTACCTACTTGAAAAGAAATTTGAACAGTTTATTTTGTAGTTTCAATTATTTTTCTAGTTTTTTTTTAGTGTAAGAAATGGCTAAATAACTTGGCTGATTTAATTTATAGGTAAGAGGTATACAAGAGACCCATCTCTATTAGTAAGATCTAAGTGTGTCCTAATTATAATATAATACTAGATATTATCTAGTTTCCCAGTAGGGAAAATGGACCCAGTACCCAGGGCCTGAATACCGATAACGAACTGCATACTAACATCATCCAAAAAAATCAATTCCTCTAGGTATATAGTCCCCCAGCATAATTACATCATTAGATTTAAATTTTGTTAAAAATTGCATGCATTTTTTTCATGAAATTTTTAATGAAAAAAAAATAAGTTGGCACGCGGATCATATTGTTACTACTGGTCTAACAATTTAACCAATCAATTTTCCAAGTAGGTACCTATGTCTAATATTCGGAAAATATTATCTATTACCTATTAGTTATTTTTTCTTTATAGTTAACTAGCAGGTCCTATTATCTTGTTGCCTGTTAAAAATACTAACTACATGATTCAAATTTTCTAGCGATGTTCAAAACTTCCCGTGGATTTACCCCATCTTAATCTCCATTAAAAATGTCTAACACAGTCATAATAGTGGTTAGTTGTCCCACCAAATATAAATACAGGTCGAAAATTATATTCAATAACAACTGGGTATTTTATTTTTTTTTGTAACCAATAGGTAGTAAACCTATAATATTATTTCTATAATCTCTATAAAAATTCACAAATTTGCAATAAAACATTTTTTTTAGGGCCACTTATGGAGATAAAATTGATCACCGGGAAAGTGTGGCTTTCTAGTGGTAAAATTATTTTTTTAATTGATTAAGTACCTCCAGAAATTACCCCAAACAAACAATTTATCTTCTTTATATATTAGTACAAGTATAATAAATTGGTATACAAAAAAAAAACAAACCAAAATGATAATATAATCAATATTTTTGCATAATATCTTTTTCTTTTATTCTATTACTGTTACTTAATAATAATAACAATAAGTATTTGTATTGATATTATTAAATAATATTAAAAAAAAAAAAGTATTTTTAGTATGATAATTGTGAATTTTGATACTATAATAGTAATCACAGAATATAATACTATACAACAAATTTAACTAATATTTTTATATACAGAGTGATTACAACTTATATTCTATCAATCATTTACTTAATACGCTCATTTGTATACATTTTTCTTAATAAAAATATATATATCATAATATTATATTTGTTCAATATAATAATTTATGTAGGTACTTATATTTTTTTCTGAGACACGCTTATGATTATTATATATAATAAATAATAATTATTACCATCATATTATAAAACCTATAGTAGCTATGTAAATTGGAAATTAATAAACGTATTTGTAATAAATTGCACAAAACTGGGCACTAACTGGTTAGCTTTAATTCATATGAATTGTGTGACTTAACTAGTCAAATTGAATGTGTAAAATAATCTAATCTAATTCGTTAAAAATAATGAGTACCTAACTAGTGGTTTTGGTAGTTTATTTTTTCATTTATTGAATGTTTAAATTTCTTATTTTGTTCTATTCTAATGACTGATATTCTAAGAAATTAAGATTATTGTCTACCAATTTGATAAATTTGATCAAACTTGTTGACAGTTCAAGTTGTTTAATTTAATTTTTCATTCATCACCAATAATTCAGATTAGTTACCTACCCACCTACTTAATAATTAATGTATATAAAGCATTACATTTGAAAAAATGGCTTTTTAAATTTATATTTTAAGCTAAAAAAAAACTATGTACCTAACTTATATTCTAAATTAGTTACTTTTAATATTAAAGTAACTTAACTATAACCAGTTGAAAAAAGTGACTTGCCCAGCTTAGTAATTGGATAAAATAAATATATAATTAATTGTATACTATTTGAATGTATAATTATTAATTTATATAATATAACATTTTTATAACATTGATAAGACGGCAAAAATATTGTACCTATACATAGATATATACAACAACTAGATAGCCGTCATTAAACTACAGTTGTGACCAATATTGAAATCGGCTGCCATTTACAAAGCAGGCAATGTTTACATTTATTTATATACATATATATGTATCTATTATAGAATACATATATACTATGATAATATTATTTTGTAAACATTGCCAGCTTCGTAAATGGCGGCCGACTTCGATGACAAGAAGGAGACGGCTATCTAGTTGTTGTATATACCTATGTACCTATATTATATTTTGTGATTATTCTAAATCTCTGATTATATTATCACTTTGGTTTTTTTTCCGGGTTTCTAATAAGTTAGGTGCAAATGTGCTATTATACCTACTAACCTAACTTCAGTAAGTACTATATTTTAAATGTACTATTTTGTCACTTCTATTTCATATGATGGTTTACAAAAGTTTTAAATAATATTATGTACAATTACATAAATACTGTAACTCAATGCACTTAATCAAGGGCATAATTATTGACTAGGTAATAATTATAATTATATAACTAAAATAATAGAACAATTGAAAATGTGGATCATATTAATATATATTTAGACGGTAATCATTGAAAGGTTAGTGTTTTTTAACGACAATTTTTTTCCCAGGACGTTTCGGATCAATTTATTATACCGGAAATCAAAGAACACAAAGATAGGTACCTACTAGGAAGCTGTTCGAGGTGAACTACAATTGCGCTTTGCACTGGTTCGTTCACCTGCCATTACGGATATGATTTTGCACGAATCTCCGACACGGATAAAATAAGATAAACGCGCAAAACGACGACATTAATTCAAAGAATCAAAGAACCGCGACAACGTTAACGCGTCGTCATAAGATTGGGCCTACGGGAAATAACGTGCGGTACGGTTAATGGCGGGAAACGAGACAAAGCGCGGACACACGACACTTCCGGTCCGGTGGGTTCTATAACGACGTCCAAACGACGGCCGCGCGTTCGAAATATTTACCTGTAGTTGTTGCGAGTTGTCCATTACGTTTTCCTTGTTCATCGCCATGTTATCGTTGAATACAATATTTTAAACGTCGCCGATCGTCAATCGAATAACGTTGGACAGCACGAATGGTCGAGGAGAGCCGAAGTGGTTGTAGGGCAGACGAGCGACAGCCAAAGTCAAACGCGAAATGACGAGGGGCAACGCGATCCGGACGGATAGGACTTGAAGAGTGGAAACGGTGCGTGTGGTCGGGACAATACGGTGGCAGACGTATGCCGTGAAATTGGAGGCAAAATATAATGACCAGTAAGCGGTATCGTGGTAAGCACCTGCATTCGAAGCGGCAGCTCACCCGCACGCACAAACCAGTCACAAAGCCTCGGAACGATTTTACGCGGTAAAACGTTGTTGTAGCGGCAAACACATCATCAGCTTTGTTTACATTTTACAGGCAGTATTATCAAAACGTCGTTGTCGATAACAGATTTCGGTGTTACCATTATTATTATTCCGCCGTTCCGGGATAAAACAGTATGGACATCAAAATGCAAAATAATTAACAACATTCTACAACTTACAGTCTACGCCAACATGACCAACCATGGAAAATCAAAATTTGAATTATAAAATGTCTTATCACAATCGTTATATTCCGACGTGTTTTGATTCCCTTCACGGCCATTTAGATGATAATACGAACATTGACCGTGAATCGTAGTTCACATCAATCATCAACCGTAGTTCGTAGTGTTCGTACATTGAACTAAATAAAATGTAATGTACTATATTGTACAAGGAAAATATTCTATATTATATTGCATATATTTGCATGTATATAATATTGTATATAAGGGAAATGCACTGTTAATAAATTAATTATCATTAATTATATTGTCGCACTCGCATATTATCACAGAACATTATGATATATTATTATGGTTAATGGTTATTACGAAATAGCACAAACGTTTTGGCGCGGGAAAGAACCGAGAAGGCCACAATCATAACTAAAAAACGAAATTTTTACCACATTTAAAGTCCATCTTTGGCAGTGCAATATCGTTTTTATTATTTTGATATCACTTGTACGAACAAAGTGCTGATTGTTCAAATTCCATTAGTGTCAATCCGTTTGTGTTTTTCAAACTGTAATACCTTTTTTTGAAGTTCCGAATTTCCGATAACGAAAAAAGAAATAATTATGGACAATTTTCGTAGTAGGTACCTATTTATACTGTAAAGCGGCCCATACACGATCAATAATATTGATCAATATTATTGACAAAATATTGACGAACATTGTCAACGACCACCAACGTATCAATATTATTGATCAATATATCATTATCTATTCACCATATTTGTCAATTCGTTCAACAACAATTTATATTATATTTTAAATGAAATTTTCATTATTATTTATTGACAGTACGTCAATAAAAATCAAAAATTTTTAATTTGTTCAATATATTGATCAATCCTTCAATATAGCCCATACACGATCAATATTATTGTCAATATCAAATATTGCTTTAAAACGCTTCAACGTATTCCTGGAATTACGAAACCATGTTTTTATGCAATATTTTGTCTACTAGTGCGCCCTCTTAATGGGTCTATGATTATAAGTCCAGGGCCGGCGAGTGGGTGGGGCAGTAGGGGCCCGGACCTCCGGGGGGGGGGGGCGTTGTCAGAGGCGTATTTAGGCATAGCCCCCTGTAGACCCGGGCCATTATCATCCGTTTGCTAAAAATTAGACAACCGTATTACCGTCTACAGGCGCGGACTGGTAAAATAGGGCCAGGGATGCTACACAATTTAAAAGGCAAATACCAAAAATTGTTGGGGCAAATTTAATACATGTAGATTATTTATAAAATATTAATATATTTTATATTGTTTTAAAAAATATTGAATATAAGTTAAAAACGTAAATAAGTACCAAGTTACCTTTACCTATAACTAACTTTCAATGAAAATTGTACAATATTATAGATTACTAGTAATTGTAAGTTGGTAACAATCTGCTGTTAATTAGGTGTTTAGAGTCTTTAAATATAATATAATAAATAATATATTAGGGCAAGGGATGCTGTAGCATCCCAGCCGGTCCGCGCCTGAGTCCGTCTATAATATTATTATATACCTACTATATTGTACACAATATGCAACACGGAACTCACATAGATAACAAAACAAACTCGCATTCAACGCGGGTTCGATCGGTATAATCGCGTAGTTGGTTTTTATATAGTGTGTGTTATTAATAATATGATTAATATATATAAATATATAATATAGTCGTAAATTCCTAAATACGACCAATATCGACCGACTGTATCAGATAATAATATGTTCCGATGTTCGATCATATTTCCACGTAGGTATTAGTTGTAATGATGCGTTTACATAAAATACATCGCGTTCCGAAATTATCGTTTTTGCTTTCTTTTATAATTTTGATATTACGGAATACGAATCGTGTGTAATTTTGGGTTTTGCTAGTACCTACATATTTGAGTCCCTAGTTATATAATTTTATTATAATGAGTTATAAACACAAATCTGGTGCGCAAAAAAGAAAAGAAAAGGATTACAGAGACAATGAAGCAAAAAAAGGACAGCTATCACTAGGGCAATATATTAAACCTTCCACAGCTTCGACTGAGTTACCTATACGGTCTTTTGGCCAGAAAGGGAACACTTTAACTGAACCTAATTATTCGTTAATTACTGTTGAATAGTTGTTAACATTATTTTCTTCGATTTTAATAAAAGATTTTGTATACCAAATATTATGTTTTTTTTATTTACAATTCATCCAACTTAAATATTAAGTTTTGCTACTGTATTAAAATGCTGTACAGCCATAGGCGCACATAGGGGGGTGCTTGGGGGTGCTTAGCACCCCCAAGCTTCAAACTAGCACCCTCAGTTTATTTCACTATTTCACCAATCATTTATAAACTATCGTGGTTTATTGGTTGATTGGTTCGGAATTTTTCTTTTCATTACAAATATTGACAACTGTTTACGAATTCACGAATTCATTTTTTTTTTTTTTGTCTCTCATCATCTTTTAGGACAGTAAAAGTGCTTGGATTTTCTTCAACAGTATCTTTTCTGATAGGAAAGTGAATCTAAATGGTACTTTGGGGGGGGGGGGGGGGGGTCAAAAGCAAAAATTTCACAGTAGTTTTCAAAAGCGCCGTGAAAAACAAAAGAAAAATTAAGGAAAAACGGGAATTTTTACGCAAAATCTGTTTTCGAGAAAATTGATTTAGGTTTTTAGTGTAACTTAAAAAAAAAGACCGTAGATATATGAAATTTTCACTGGTTATTTATATTTCCATTTTCTATACATGATAAAATTTTCTAAATATTTTGAGTTATTTTGAGCTTTTTACGTACATTTTTAGTTTCCATTTTTTTTAGTTTTTTTTTTCTATAAGTATCAATAAAATTTTATTTGTTGAGTATAAAAGCTTAAACATTTAATAGAAGGCTCCCAATATATTGTTTCAAAGACAGATGAAAAATATTAAAAATCCTTAGTCACAGTTTTTTGTTATAAGCATTTAAATTCCAAATATTGACAAAATACGTGAAAATTACGAAAATTTGCAAATTATTTCGAGTGAGAACTTCATAAAAATTTTTCTTTTTAAATCTAAGATATGAAAATGTAATGCAAGATTCCTCATAAGTTTGTCTACCTTTATCAAAAAAAAAGTCTACAAGAATCTCAAATTAAATTTTTATGAACGTTAGAAATTCATATTTTTACAACATTTGATATTCACTCGATTTCTCATGTAACGATTTTCTAATTTTGTTGTAATTAAAAAACGAATGATTGTAGATACTTGAAAATTTTACTAAATTTTTATATTAGCATTTCCTATACACCATATAGTTTTGAAAATATATTGATTCTTTTTGAGCTATTTACGGACATTTTCAGTTTTCAATTTTTTCAATTTTTTTTTCTATTCATATCAATAAAATTATATTTGAATGGTAAAAAACTTGAAAATTTAATGCAAAGCTCCTGATAGATTGTTACAATAACACTTGAAAAATATTAAAAATACATAGGCACAATTTTTTTTTATAATTATTTAAAATTCAAATTTTGACAAAATTTATCACATTTAAAATTTAATAATAATTTTATAGTTAAAAATTTATAAAATGTTCAACTTTTATAGCTAATGATTGAAAATTTAAAACAAGATTCTACGTAAATAGGTTATATATAAATTGCTTTATTCACCTTAGTATCATCAAATATACTTAGTAATATCATAGGCTGACTAACCGTCTTCGCTCAGAATCGTTTTTCTTATACAATGATGTTAGTATATTATTGAATTCAAATTTAATACCATCGATTATACAGTGACCCACTTGTATCCTACTGTACAGCAGAGCACCTTTTTATGTTTATCAAACTTAAATAACTTTTATTTTGGTTTTGATATCGGAAATATAAAAACAAAGTTACAGAGTAAATTTTCTCATTTTGTAGTGTGAACATTTAGTTTCTTAGATTAGAGTAGAGCCTGAATGTTTTTTATACCCGTGCAAAACAGTTTTGCCTATGTTGTACCTACGTCTGTAATACGGAGACAACACATGTGGGTGTACCTAGCGTCTTCTTTACAATCATACAGACTATTTGATACATTGCACTTTAGAAATTATTGTATACACTATACGAATTAAATCTAATGAAATGCAGAAATATTAGGATTAGGGGGTGTGGGGGGCCAAGCCCCCCCGGATCTGTGAACCATAAATTATCCCATCACCCCCTAAATTCACACCCAATGTGCGCCTATGTGTACAGCTATATAAATCTCAGTAAAATAAGTATATATAAGTGACGGGACCCGGAAATTATCAGCCCTGGGTCCCACCAAAGCTCTGGCCGGCCCTATAACCATATAACTGAAAGAGAAGGAACATAGGCAGTAAAGGAGCCCGTGGCTAAGGAACGCATTTTACTAGGTACTTTGCTTCTTTTCTCGCTCACTATTGCCCATGGTTTTTAACAATATTGTAAATCGGACTTCTTACGATTGTTAAAAAAATTTTCCTCTACAATTTTTGTAATAGGTATTTATACTGTAAAACGCTTCAATAAGCCGTAGTACTGAAATTACGAAACCATGTTTTTATGGCATATTGCGATATTTTGTCCATTAGTGCGCCCTTATGACAATAACAGTTTCCATAGATAGATAACACACAGATAATAATTTATTTTACATATCTGTGGATACCATAATATCATGGTAATCGGAAAAAAAATCCCTGATCCTAGGAAAAAAAATCCCCAGACTACAATATTACTCACAACCTCATGCAAATGGTTGAACAAATATTTTTTAAACTTTAATTATAGTATCTATAATTAATATTTAATTACAAATACGTATATTATATTATATTATTAAAAAAATTATATATTATAAATAATATTTTGTTTTAAATTACGATAATATATTATGTGTAATTCAAATTAAATAACTAACTTAACAACGTTACAAATAAGTGTATATAATATAAAAATATTTTGAATGATCGATACGTCAAATAATACAGTTAAACACGTTAAATTATACAAAAATATTATACAAAAAATAGGTGATAAAAATAATATAAATAAATAACTATAAATAATTTTTTATTTCGGGGATTTAATTTTTACAGAATTATACCAACATAAAATGTGTATTAATATAGTAATATAAAATGTTGTTGTTAATTTTTCAAAAATTATTTAGGTATAGTTATTTATTTATATTATTTTTATTACCTATATTTTGTATAATATTTTTGTATACTATCACTATGGGTCAGTGGATATTTTAAGGAATTATTACTGGGCGACATTAAAAAGAAAATTTCAAGCTGACTATCAAAATCAACATATTATGAGCTTATAAAAAACTTTTCAGTATTCATTATATTAATTAATAAATAATAATTTATAATAATATATATTGATTATTCATATAAATCCACAGAATATCAATAATATTACACCAATACTATTGATTATAAATATTACTAATTTTATTAGTATTTATAAGCAATGGTAATGCGTTATACGTCATTTCATATTATGCAAGTGCCAAGTATATATATTTCATTTAGGATTATTGTATTTTGTAATATATTATTATTATTGAAAATAGGTACTGTATAGTGCATTTAGTATAAGTTCAATTGTAAAATATAAGATTTCAAATTATTTTATACTTAGGTACCGAAAGTGACGAAAGTCGTCCTATCGTATGACGTAGTAGGTGGTACCTTGAAGGCTTCAATTTTTAAACTGTTTAAATGTTCAAAGTGAAATAATTATTTAGCCTATTGCTTGTAGGAACAAGGACTAAAATAAAATCAAAAACAATCATTTTTTAGATATTTTCCGGGACGACTGACGACCAGATGTAACATGTCGCATTGTCGCTTGCCGCGCTTTCTTGCATTGCATTATTCTATATTAGGTGAACATGGGTTTTTCATTCTCAATAATTATTTTTCAAATTCAATATGATATATGTCATAAATAAATAACAAAATTAAACATAATAAATAACCAATAAATAAAATTATTTAATAAAAACATCGACATTTCTACAAAAACCGTTGTCGCCCATTAATTAAATATATCATCTACTAGGCGACAAAAAGTTTCCTCTGGGCGACATTCCTGTCACTTTAATAACTAATAACTAATAGTTTAACTGTATTATTTGACGTATCGATCATTAATATATTTTTACATTCTACACCTATTTGTAACGTTGTTAAGTTAGTTATTTAATTTGAATTACACATACCTAATATATTATCGTAATTTAAAACAAAATATTATTTATAATATATAATTTTTTTTTAACAATATAATATAATATACGTATTTGTAATTAAATATTAATTATAGATACCTACTAATTAACGTTTAAAAAATATTTGTTCAACCATTTGCATGAGGTTGTGAGTAATATTAGAGTAGTCTGGGGATTTTTTTTCCGGGATTCAATATCATAGAGCAATATAGAAGCGAAACTCGATCAGCTGATTGGGGTTTCGTTTCCCTATGATTTGAAGTCTGAACCTCCGAAAAACATGGAAATAATATTTTATAATCTAAGACCGTGGTAAATACTCAATTGTGTTATCTATGTAAATACTAAAGACAAAAGCACGGGATTTTGATAAGATAATTCAAAAATTCAAAATAGTAAAGGATCTTTGTTAGTTTGTTCACTTATTTCTATGCCAGGTTCTGTCTCGTAGGTATTGTACTATTGTCTTTACTCTTTTGAATAATAATATTATTGCATTCATAACTGACAATTATATTCGGTCAAAGACAAATGGAGCCTGCACATGTTTCTCAAAGTCAGCAAGCTGTAAGTAAAGTATACATTTCTTACTAGTTTTAATATTGTATTTATTTTATATAATTGTATAAATTATATTGGTCGTTCCGATGAGATGGTCTACAAATGATATTGAGAGATCACCCAGATTGCAACTACGGCCATTCAGTACATTCATCTCCCACATAATAAGCGACTGCCCGCTCCGTGCCTTTAATATTAATGAGACAGTGGAAGAACTTCACGAAGCTAACGACTATATGGTCAAATGAATAAGGACACTTGACATCCAACTGTAGACATCTGTCTATTGACGACATGTTATAGTTACACTTCGCGTTAATCTTAAGGGCATTGGAGCCAGTACGTTTTTACTGTTATGAGTATTTTAATATGTACAAACAATTTAAAATTTTAAAATACCCATAAATCGCTTTAAAAAAAAAAAAAAAAATAAAAAGCCCATGACATTGCCTAGGTAATAATCTTACCTTTAAATTCTATAAGAGGTCAATTCACTCTAATTTTTAAACTAACAAAGCCTTATGTCTTCTGCTGAGCGTACAATTTTCTATGTTACGCACTTGTAAGACGGAGACAACATATGCAGGTGATATTGTTGTAACAATATTTAAACAGTATGTTTACAATACTTCATTAACACTAAGTAATCTTAATTGTATAAAAGTAAGTTAACAAAATTATTTGAAAATTTAATACCATTAATGAATAAATTAGTAGGAAATTAAATATTGATATCACCAGATTTAAAATAAATCAATTTTAATTAATTATGTAGGTACCTACTTAAGATTTAAATAATTTAATTTGTAGTTTATATATTTCAGTGAAGTAGGTAAAATATTATTATTAAAAATGTTTACTCTAGCATGATAAATGTATACTTATGCATAAATCTGAAACATAATTAATTTATATTATAGAATATTTTAAAAGAAAAAAAGAAGAAGACAAGTAAGAAGAAAAATAATCAGAACCTTAAAAATGAAGAGGAAGAGGTTATTATTCCAAAACTGAAAGAAACCCAAAATAACGGATTTAAACATGTTGTTGTAAATGGCGCTGCAAAGTTTCCTAGTTATTTAGACAATTTACCCTATGTTGAAGGTTAGATTATACATTTTTTTCTTGTCATGTTTACACAAGACTATGGTATTATTTTATATTTATATAGGACAATGGAGTGTTACAAACCCAACTGGAAAGAAAATGTATTCTATAATATTTTTATCACAACTTGGTCTTGAAGCTGTTTGTCAAAAGAAACCGGATGTATTAAAAAACTGGAGTACAAAATCATTCATTGCACCACAATTTAGTTCATTAAGTGTAAGTTTTTAAATGAATTTTTGTGATTTTAATATTTTATTTAAATTATTGCATTTTTTAAAATTTGTTAGGGGATATACTCTATTTACCGAGAGTTGACCCACTCCGTGCATGCATACTGAGCCGCCGGAACATTCATACCCCCTAGTAGGAGACCGCGGCGGTCTGTGATTGGTCGACGATCACCACCAGCGCTGAAACGAGCGGTGGCATGCGCAGCCGCGACCGGTTTTTGTCGGGCGAGTGGGTCAACTCTCGGTAAATAGAGTATAGTATTAGATGCTATAGGCCACCTATTTGATAGAATTAAATAATTTCTTTATAAAGCAATTAAAAAACTTTGTAGTTATGATTTTTAGTGGCCAGGTGCTAAATATAATCTTAGTCAAGGAAAAACAGCAAGTAAAACGGCAAAATCTAACACTGTTCATGTTTCCTTCTTTACGAGAATAAGTTAAATTAAATCAGACTGAAAATGCTTGGGTTCCAACTTCTGCTAAAAAAACCACAATTCTAAAGTAGTTAAAACCAATAATGAATAGGAAAAAAAGAACGTAGGAGCCAACATTAAATTTCACATTTTAATGAATTTGATCAACAATATATGTTATTGATTAGTTTTATTTAATTACTACTATAATTAGCAGAAATATTGCATAAACATTTAAAAAAAAATAATTTCTAAAAAATCTAATCAACATAGAAAACATAAAAATATCGAATAATATACAAGCTACAAAGTATATTTTTTAATATATTCATTATATAATATTGCATTTTAACAGATTTAACCAAGTATATGCCTCCAATCAAAATAATATTTATTTTTTATTCAATAACAAGTATAATAAGACAATAATTACTAAATGATCTAGTCTCTTAATCACTTATTTACAGCTTTGTGGGTTGATACATATTTTACATTTTTACGGCATGGGGCTCGCAAAAAACAGTCTATAGTCTGTACAGCAAGAGAACATGACAATTCTGCTTATCCCTCCGCTTCGCCATGTCATTAAAACCTTTTCTCCTATGAACGGATGTCGTGTGGAGATGCGCAGAAGAACCAATTTTGGTGGGACGGCATGCACTCTTGCTGGACAGAGTATTGCACCATACTTGCAGCACCCTTAAAATTAATGTAAATTAATCTTATACAAAATTGAAAGCTTTATAATTTTTACTCTAGCATTACACATTTATATTTATGTGTAAACATTATATAGGATATTTTAAAACAACAAGAAAAAAAGAAGAATAAGAAAAATAAACATTATTCTAAAAATGAAGAGGAACAGAGTGTAATTCCAAAACCGGTAGAGTTAGTACCACAAGTGGAAAAGTCCCAATACAATGGACTTCAATATGTTGTAAATGACACTCTAAAGTTGCCTAGTTATTTAGACAATTTACCCTATATTGAAGGTGAGATTACTATTTTTCTTGTCATGTTTACACAGTATATTATTTTATATTTATTTAGGACAATGGAGTTTTACAAACCCAACTGGAAAGAAAGTGTATTCTATATTATTTTTATTAAAACTTGGGAGTGAAGCTATTTGTCAAAAGAAACCGGATGTATTAAAAAACTGGAGTACAAAATCATTCATTGCACCACAATTTAGTTCATTAAGTGTAAGTTTTTAAATGAATATTTATGATTTTAATATTTTAACTAAATTATTGTATTTTATAAATTAAAATGTACTAGTACAGTGACATAACCTGAAGCTTAATCAAGGTGAGGGGGGTGGGGTGATTTTAAAACTTAAATATTTAATGTATATAAGTCTATACTCTATACATGAATGAAACTATAGAAAACACCACTGCTAAAATCCAAGGATTGGCGATCCACCCATTTCTCTTCCAATCATATACACCACTGGGATAGTACCTAATTCTCAAATTGAATAGAAATGATAATTTCTTAGTAAAATAATTTAAAAACTTTGTATTCATAACTTTTAGCACCCAAGTGTTATATTGGATCGTAGTCATGGAAAGCTTTTACAGCTCAAAGAGACAGTTGAACATCCATTGAACTCAGTAGTTGCTTATAAAATGAATATGAAATGTAAAAGCATACTTAAAGACTACGAGGAACTGAATAATTTAAATGTATGTATTCAAGATAAAATATTTATAATACTTACTTAAAGTTTGATAGTAAATAATATTAATTAATAATTGCGCTTTCTAATATAGGAAATAATCTATTCATTATCAGAAGATGAATCTTCGGTAATCTGCACAAGGCATAAAGAGTTTGTGAAGTCAATGTCACTTATAATATTAGATTGTCCTATCACTCAAACAACAGTAGCAGGAACGATTTTTGCAGAACTATTATCCAAAAAAATTCTTTCTATGGAGGCCATCACTCAAGGGTACTTATTAATTTTATACTTTTTCAAATTATATAACATTCTTATTTTTGTTTTTTGAAGAATTGATGATATTCTTAAATATTGGAATGATTTTTTGATGTATTATCCTCAATTTTTCTCCTATATTGCTGAAATTATTGGTAAATTTTTATCTTTTATTTTTATCAATTATTTGAAATATTCTAACATTATTAATTAAAATGTTTTATTTATAGTTCCATTATTACTATCACAGAATACTTCTTTTGACTTCAACAATTTAAAAGATTCATGTACTTCTATACGACCAAACAATTCTAGTAAATTGTTTACTGAAGTATTATATAAAATTAATAGTTCCAAGGAAACACAGAACGTTAAAGAAGTATGTGACAGTATAGTTATTTATTTTATTTTTATTTTCTTATTCTGTTTTAAAAACATTTTTTTTACCTCTATAGTTTTGACCAATCTTCTTGTTTTCCTGCTAATTCTTGTTCATTGAATCAGCTTGGTAGTGACAATATCTAAAAAAAGTAAAAGTTTTTATTTAAAATATTTATCTATTAGTAGGTAGGTACGATTGTTTTGTAATCACAATTTCCATAATTCTTTTAACAACTTTTTTACCAGAATTTCTTTCCCTAAATCTTGTACAAATAATTCTAGCCTTCTAGGTATACAACATATATTGGTTACACAATCTTATTATTGAAAATTTAATTTAGCCAAACAGCTTTTAAATATTCTATTATTTTTAACAGAACATATTGCGTAGTTAATAAGTACTACTGATTATAAATGTTATAGTATTGTAGATTCTGAGCGGAGCGAGGAAGCTATTGGTTTTACAATGATGTTTATTTTATTTTTATCCTGTAAACAAAGTTTCTATCAGAACGAGTGCTTTGATTTCAACATATATTATCTTATCTTTTAGCAAATTGGATGAAGATGGTATCTTAGGGACGTCAATTTTTGAATTATCAATAGTTTTTTAACGCCAAAAACTCAAAAATTAATTTTTTTAAAGCTTTGTTTAGTACCATAGAAACGAATACAATTTAAAAATTACCTAATTCCCACTAGGTATATTATATACAATTAATGATTCATTTGTTCCCTCGGAATCTTTTTTTATCGAATGCAATCATTGCATTCAATTTGAATACGTTAATAATACACTATCCTGTCCGAGGACTGAAGGAACAATGGACAAACATCCACCACTGCTGACCTAATCCACCCCGCTGTACTTTACCCACTTAATCCACTTATATCTTATAAGCAACAATAGAATTTTCAGAAGACTAATATGGCACATTTCCAATAATCATATTTGTATAATTGTAAGCAGGCCCGTCTTTAGTGAATTTTTATGTTTAGGCAAGACTTAATTTTGCATCCCTGCCAGGGCCGGTTTTAAGGGGGGGGGGCAACACTTTGAGGTTGGCAAAATTATCTCAGATAAAATAAACAAAAATTAATTTTTTTTGTGAAGAGAAAGATTTCTAAAAAATAATACATTTTATTACTATTTATTTTTTAAATTCACATATGCGCAGTGCCGGATTAACGTATAGGCAGGGTAGGCACGTGCCTAGGGCTAGATAAAAGTTGCCATCAGAGGGGGCTATTTTTTTTTTAATAGCGGCACTGTGACTGTGGAAGTTCGTGCCAGTCCGAGGCGAAGAATTACTTAAATCTTAATATGGTTTTTAATTACGTCTTATCATTTTTCGGACAAGTGCAATTCGCCGCAGCAGTACAGGAAATGCGGCTGCTTTGATAATTGATACTGTTCATGATAATTATCATAGCTGAAGGTAGGTACTAGAGGTACCATGGTCATTATTGTTATTATTATTAAATTCTATTGGTTTAAATGATTAAATAAATGACTTCTGCTCTAAAAAAGCAAGAAAAAAGCTGTAAAATAAATAAATCTAAACATTTTTATAATTTTGTTTTTTGTTTTTTTTACAATGGGCTATAAAAAAAAATGTTTGCCTAGGGCTATGATCGGTCTTAATCCGGCACTGCATATGCGTACATTTTTTTTACCTATATTTTATCATTTTAAATAAAGAAAAATAAACATTATTAACTAAGTAGGTAGGTAGGTACCTACTAGGTATCATGGAGGATTCTAGGTAGATAGTACATAAGACCTAAGTTATAAATTAGTTACTTATTTTTTTTGTATAGTTTACCTACTATTAAAAATCTAATATTGGAATGCATAGGTACCTAGTTAAAATTGCTAAAAATTAACTGCAAATTAAATTTCAATGAGAAAGGGAAACATAAAAAAGGTGGACAAGTGGGTGTCGCTCTGCTGTACAGTAGGTTACAAGTGGGTCACTGTATAATGGATGATATTAAATTTGAATTCAACGATATAATATCATTGTATAAGAAAAACGATTCTGAGCGGAGACGGTATGTCAGTCTATGTATAAGACATATTATATACATATCTATGGTATTAAACAAAAAATTTACCTATAATAGGTACCTATAATAAATTCCAAATTAATCATATCACAATATCCATTAGGTACTTATAACGCGTTATACATCAACAAAAACCGTGATACTATCATAGATATATAATAGTACACTTTAGAATTTTCAAGTACCCACGAATAATATTATTCAATCACAACAAAATAACTAAAATAGTTATTCTAGGTTTTTTAATATGTAATTTCGTTAAAATTTAAATTTAAAATGTCTGTAAAAAATAACTGTGTTCATATATTTTTTAGATTTTTTGGTTACAGTATGAACTATTTATGAGAACCTTTGTGTTGAATTTTCAATCCTTAGCTATAAAAACTGAACATTTTATAATTTTTTAATTACGATGATTGATAATTTTCGAGATTTTGAAAAATTCTGTCAAAATTCGATGTTTAAATGCTTATAAAAAAAAAATGTGCCTATGTATTTTTAATATTTTTCAACTGATATTGTAACAATATATCAGGAGCCTTGTATTAAATTTTCACACTTTTTGGCCCAACAGATAAAACTTTATTGATATTCATAGAAAAAAAAAACTAAAAAAAATTGAAAAATGAAAATATCCGTAAACAGCTCAAAAAGAATCAAAATATTTTCAAAATTGTGTGGTGTATAGGAAATGCTAATATAAACATTCAGTGAAATTTTCATGTATCTATAGTTATTCGTTTATGAATAACAACAAAATAAGGAAATCGCTACATGAGAAATCGAGTGAACATCCAATGTTGTAAAAATTTGAATTTCAAACGCTCATAAAAATTTAATTTGACCGTCCGGTAGAGATTTTTTTATTGATAAAGGTAGACAAACTTATGAGTAATCTTGTATTACATTTTCAAATCTTAGATTTAAAAAGAAAAATTTTTGCGAATTCTTAACTCAAAATAATTTGCTAATTTTCTTGATTTTTCCATATTTTGTCAATTTTTGAACTTTAAATGCTTATAAAAAAAAACCGTGACTAACGATTTTTAATATTTTTCATCTGCCTTTGAAACAATATACTAAGGGCCTTCTATTACATTTTCAAGTATTTTTAACCAACAAATAAAATTTTATTGATATTTCTAGAAAAAAAACTAAAAAAAAATTAAAAATTAAAATGTCCCTAAACAGTTAAAAATAAATCAAAATATTTTGAAAATCGTGTATAGAAAATGCAAATATAAACAACCAGTAAAAATTTCATGTATCTACGGTCTTTTGTTTTAAAGTTACACCAAAAACCAAATTCAATTTTCTGAAAAATCGATTTTGCGTAAAAATTCCAGTTTTTCTTTAATTTTTCTTTTGTTTTTCTTGGCGCTTTTGAAAAGTACTGTGAATTTTAAATTTTTACCTCCCCAATGCACCAACGATATTCACTTTCCAATCGAACGAGATACTGAAGTCGAAAATCGAATCATTATTTCGACTACTTATCGTGTACACAGACACAAAAAAAAAAAAAAAAAATTAAAAAAAAAAAAACACACATCATTGTAAAATCAATACATTCATCGTTTCACTCAGAATCTAAAAGATCGCGGCGAACCTAGCGGCGTAAAAACCATGCGTTGTATAACAACGAGCGTGTGTTAGTAGGTACACAGTACAAGCGCGTACGCATGAAACATCGCGGAACAGGGCGAGCGGAATGGGTGAGGGAATAAACCGTATCGAAATTTAACACGCGTAGCATAGGCGATTGAACGTTTTACGTGTTATTAGATAGGTACTCATCCATTTTCGACGTACGACGCGCGTTTACGCAATTTATTTTGTGAATAATTTATGTGCATGATGTTTATTTTTTAAGTAATAGTATATACGTATTGGTAATTTTGTGGAAAATAATGTATACGTATTATTCATTTTGGTGATGGTAGATACGTGTTGATCGTTTATAAATAAAAATAGTATTATATAGTATATTATACTTGTAGAATAAATACTATTGGTAATTACATACGCGGATAGAATATTAATGGAATAAGTAAATTAATAAAATACGATTATAGTATTATAGTAAAAATAAAAAAATATAAAAACACACACCATTGTAAAATCAATACATTCATCGTTTCACTCAGAATCTAAAAATGGAAAATGAAAATGTCCCTAAACAGTTCAAAATAAATCAAAATATTTTGAAAATGTTATCGTGTATAGAAAATGCAAATATAAACAACCAGTGAAAATTTCATGTATATACGTTCAGAATTCTAAGAATTTTTACGCCCGGGGAAAATATTAAAATTAAGCCCAATATTAGACCAAGATTGAAAATACAATATCATTCCCATAGGCGTGCGCAGAGTTTAAGTTCGGGGCGTGCCCGTGGAAAATTTGAATTATACATTATACACACATAGACAGAGTATAGTATAGATATTATAAAAAAAATAGAGCAGAAACAAGTCACATTTTTTTATTATAACTTATTTATTAATTATTATTGGTTACTGGTTAGTTTAGTTAGTATATAATATTTACAGATTCATACGTCTATTTTCTAAGCCTCTAAGGTATTGAGCTCATCGATGACAGAATCCTAGTTTATCCCACTTGTCAACTCTTGTTCGGTGAATAGTAACAGTAACGAATCTAATCATTCCTGTTTCATCGTACTCCTAAGTTTTGATTTTACAATTGTCATTTTGGAAAAGACTCTTTCGCATGTACAACTTGTGACTGGGATAATAGTAAATAATTGTAAGGTTTTATAAAAACAACCGTAGGTAGAAATGCTATTGTTAGTTTTCAGCCAATCAAGCCACAAATAAATGGACTCTCTAGATATAGCATTAGGTTTATCAGATTTTGGCAAATGTTTTAAAATTTTTATTTCAGTTTTTAGACCTGTACTTGATATATATGAGAACTTAGCCAAAACATCAATCATTTCAGGTTTTATTTCCATGTGTAGCAGACTAGCAATAGCTTCAATTAAGCTTAAAGTTTCTTGATTGAATCTTGAATCCATTGCCGATAATAAATCATCAAGTAGTTCATAATAAACTGATATCTTCATTTCATCTAATTTATTTATTTAAAAAAAAAATGAGATTTAGATTTGTTATCAATTTGAGTCGATACCTTTCTACGAATAACGTCTGGAACAATTATTCCATGTTTTTTACATAAAGCAACTGCTTGTTCAAAAATATTTTCAAATTCTTTGTTTTCATTTCTCATACTTTTAAGATTTAATGTTAAAGACCGTACATTATCAATTGCCAACAAAAGATTTAGTTTTAGTGATTGAAGTACTGAGCTAACTTTTAAAATAAGATTTAATATTGGATGCATCATAAACATGCCAAAAATGAACTCAAATCTTTTTTATGTATTGTTGTCATGGATGAGGATGACTTGGTGATACCCCAGTTCTCCTGTACTGATAAGCATGTTTGAGACATAGGGCGCTTCGGCCCTTGAAAAATCTCGGGGGCACGCCTATGATCATTCCCTACAATTGTTTTATCATAACTGGAACTAAAATTACAAACATACTTATTAACTTTTAAACACATAATAATATATAGTAATTAATATATTCTGTGGACTGTGGTGTAACCAAGTTTATACTAATAAACTATCACACCAAAAACACTTTGAATTTAAAAACTTAGTTAACATATTGTTGATACATTTTTAATTACTGGAAATACTGTAGTGGTTACTTAATTGTATTTATTATTAGAAATAATAATAATATTACTTATATATAAATGTTGAAAAATAATCAAAACTTTAATTACCTACCTATCCTGTATAAAAATTATAAACCCTTTTGCTGTTTTGGTTCTATGCGCCTCAGCCTTCAATTATAATAGATTTTTATGGTAAAATATAAAATCTTTTATTCTGATTAGGGTACACAATTTAGGCTAGTAAAAAATTGTATTTAATTAAACAATTTATAATAGAAAAAATGAAAAAGTAAATATTTAAAATCAATCTTTTTTTTTAAACATAAACAAATGTATAACTATCTTGGTAAATATTATAATATATAATATTATAAACTATATAAAAAAAAAACTATATATTAACATCATTTTTAATATACAGATATAATATACGTATCGTACGTTGGTTGATAATCTTATAACAGTTATTGTGTAGGTATCAGAAATGTTAACGAAAACACAGCATCAATAAATGCCTATAGGTATAGTTACTAGTTACATTTTCACTCAGAATCTTAATAATTATAGTATATTAGTTGTATATGCTTGCAGTCAGGGGCGGAGTGGGAACCAAATCCAGGCCGGGAGTTTAAAATTTATCCAGGCCACCCACTAAATTTTTTGTTTCTCGCTACCCTCGAATTTGGTTTTTATATTTGCCTATTCCAAAATTACTTTCAGTATTAGAAAAGTATTTCAATCACTATCTTGCTATTTCTTTTAACTTCTGTCTTCTAACACATTGTATTAATATACCACTAGGCACTAAGTACTAATACCTGAAAGTCCGAAAACATTATCACAATCTATAGAGATTTTAGATTCTAAATTATTACTGTTTGATGTTTGATCTGAAAAAAGTTAAATTAAATTAATACTAGTACATTTTATTCAAAATATTGAAATATAAGAGCAAGATAAATTATCAATGAGGAAATGCACTAGGCAAATTAATTACATTTATTACAAATGTGTTGGAAATTCTTATATATTTTCTTAATTTTATTTATGAACAATTTAAATAATAATAAGTTGTTCAATTTTTTTTAAAATTAAAAATAATCCCAACATAAGTCATAACTAGTAAACTAGAACATTTAACTAAATAGTAAATAAAATACTTTTAAGGTACACAAAATTATTTAAAAGGAAAAACGTGGATACACCATAAACTATACCGTCGACACACTCAACACCAGTGACCAGGGGACAAATATCAAACACTAATGACTAATTTGTTTGGGTTTATTACAGATATTCTTTATAAAAATAACAATGACCAAAGTAAAGTGACCAATAATACAAAATTAATATGTATTAATGTATTATCATTGATTGTTATAAAATATACAAAATACTAGTATTAGGCATTATTAGTACTTATAATCAATGGTATTATTAGTTATTATTAGCCATTTGGTATTGCTATATTCGTCGCCACTCAACAGCCCTACAGGGTACAAATAAACAACTTGCAGGTTTCAACATGCGGAAATGCGTCGAATCAGTAATTTATAATTTCTTAGTAGGTAATTAGTTCTGTTGGATTGAACCGAGACCACACACTATCTGGGTGTTTTTTTATAAAAATTATCGACCCATATAAATATTATATTGCTTTGATTTTATTTGATATCTATATTTATGTACCAAATATTTTGTAATTTTTTATCCAAAGATTTCTCATAAGAGAATACGATTGTACGAGGCTAGTAAGTTGTACTTACTATTATTTCATTAATAATATTTGTAATACAATAATTTAATAGAAACAAATTTTTGATGCATTTAGCATTACCTAATATTTTGTAAATTAATTTAAATTAAAAAAAAAAATCTAACAAAATGGCCAGGCCACCAGGCCATAGTATGGTCCAGGCCATCTGGAAAATTCCCATTTCCAGACCGGCCACTCCGCCCCTGCTTGCAGTAGGTATGCTAATGCCAGTATACCAGTATATACTTAGTATACTAATACGAATCTATATTCTATTCATAATACCATTAACTTTATTTTTTTTTTTCATTAATTCCAACGTCATCACTACAACATCATAAACAAATAATGTGAAATAAAAATGTTTTCTTAACTTCTATCACCAAGCATTAAATAAAGAACTAAAGAAAAATTACGCCCACTAAAATTTTATGCCCGGGGAACAATCCCCAGCTTCACCACCCTAGTTCCGCCACTGTATTCGTTCATTTGTTTTAGAGTTACACCAAAAACAAAAATCGATTTTTTGGAAAACCGATTTTGCGTAAAAATTCCCGTTTTTCCTTAATTTTTATGTTGTTTTTCCAATCATCTATTATTAAGGCTATTATTAATTTTAATATATTTTTCCAATATTCAGTTTCAATTTTCATACTTGATTGATTAATGTAATTGTTTTTCTATTTTTAAATCTTGCTTCTAATTCTTTCCAATTATATGGTTTCTTAATGATATTTTATGTATGGGTGACATTTCATGTCTGTTTAGTATAATATTTCATTGCAAGAGAAACCATACCATTATTAAATAATTTGCAACAAAACAGTATATAGAATCTCTTGATTTTAAATAAATGATCCAACTACGTTTATACGTTCAGAATTAGGCAAACGTTTAAAAAGGTTGAAAATGATCTACCAATATCGTTGGTATGATACTTTTACATATTTATTTGCTTATGTTTGCATTGTTGTTCAAACCACCAACCTATAAATAACAATTATATTAAATTTTTTTATATCAAAAGATATTGAAGTTTGAGTATAATATTTCTGATGTTATTTTTGAAAAAAAAAACCCATTGTAAAATCAATACATTTCTTAACCCATTTAGAAACTAAAATATTATAATACTGTATACAACGCTGTGTCCTAGTTGATTTGCACTGACGAGGAGAAAAATAAGAACAAAACAACTTGTATTTTGTTGTATGAGGGTACCGCTCAGCGGTGGAACAGCATGGTCAGAATAAAAAACACCAGCTAGCACATTACGTAACACATTTAAATATAAAATAATAAAATAAAATAAAAGTAAATACAATATTTTGTATATTGACATTGCCCAATTGGCCAATTGTGCAATATTATGCTCTAAGTATATGGATAGTACAAATTGCTCATTTATAAAAAACCATTTGAATTATTACTGCTGTTATAGTTCTTACAGTAATGTCACCTTTTTAGAAATGTTTTAAAGTACCACTAATCACTATATTACTATTTTCATAATTTTAGCAATTTGGTGGTATACTGTGGATTTACAATAAGTGGAATATGTTAGAAAATGTTCCTCTTGATGTCTTTATGCCTTCTAACCAAATAAATAAATATTTTAAAAAAGATGTAAGTTTTTAAACATAATAAATGCATGTATTTTTATTTTTCGTATTTAATTGATAATATAATACTTATATAATTTTTAGGAAGTTGGAGTATTCCTTTTATCTATTGCCATGTATGATAAAATTAAGCTGACTGATAATAAATTACTGTACGATATATTGCAAAGCTGGATATGTGTTAGTAAAATAATAAAATAATCAATTTAAATTATTGCATTGTACTTTGTGTTATGCATGTTGATAATAAATATTGTTTATAAATACATATTTTTTTTTATTTAGACTAATATTAGTGCAGAAATAATAAAAAGCTCTCTGTTTGTGCGAGCACTGACTGTAGCTATTGTCATTTTATGTTTGAGTAAGTCACTACTTCTGAACATATAATAAAATAGTTACTCAACTAATCAATATTAATTTTTAATTTATAGAGTTAAATCATCCATACGACGATTTCTTTGATCATGTTCATGTACAATTGTTGACCCATTATATTAAATTAAAACTACTTCCAAAAAATGAAATCCAGGCACGAGAAGTACAATGTATGTTCGGCATTCAATTAATGTCTGCTACACTTGAACATCCTAGAGGTCAGTTGTGAACTATTTAATTTTTAGCTTTATTGAGAGGATGTCATCCCCGCATGAGTTATCTCCGTCTTACAAATGTACAACATAGCAAAATATGTCTTTTATCTTTATGTGTTTGTAGTAGTGGCTCCAAAATTTCTGAACATATAGGGTGGAAAATTATCTATGCAAAAACATGCCCATATTTTAGATAATATAAATATAATAAAAGTTAATTGCTTCTAAACATTTGTTTTTTTTGTTTTTTTTTCATTTGCTTTTAAAAAATGATGGAAAGTGCTATTAAAAAATAACGCACTCTGTTTCACAGAAAAAGTTCTTCTTTACGTGTTGTGAAAATTTGGTAGTTCTACAATATGTGTTGTAGATGTCTTACAAATGAGCAACACTGTTGCACATTTGTAAGACGGAGACAACACATGAGAGTGTGACATCCTCTTAATAATGTGATATTGTTTTTCCATCAGGAATGGTATTAAAACTGTTCAATAAGCTCCATCAGGAAAGAGTTATAAGTAAAGAATCGTTTGAACTATTCATACAAGAATATGAAAAAATACCTGAAAAATAGACTGTATTTCCATGAACACCAAATATTTCTGATTTTTTTTTTGTATACTATGTTGTTAAAAAAAAAATATAAATAAGAAACAAATGTATATACTAATCCATTTTTTATTTATTTTATTTGGAATTCAATAATTTATGTTTGTATAAATTTTTTTTTTAGTAATTTTATTTTAATAAATTTATATTTTGTACCTATTTAGCAGCATTTTACTTTATAGTTTATATTAAAGGTGGAGTCTCCTTGATAAGAAAATAATACGGCCTACATTTTTAATTCATTGGAATTTTTGACAAAGTGATTATTACAAATTAATTTTATGTTTACAATTATTTGAATTATTCAATTGTATTATATAATTGAAAATTGTGTGTTAATGACTAATTAAATTTCCATTATGAAATCATTATGTTACCCGAAAGAAATTTAAATTTGCAAAATAATAATTGTTATGACTTAAGAAGATTATTTATTGGAGAGTATATATTATATATTTCTATTTACTTTATAGTTTATACCACTGTTGAAATTAAGTACAATTGTTATACATACATTTTATAATGTGTACGAGTTACCAGGGATTTGTGGCAGCCTTCAATTGTTTGTGGGCAATGTAAATTTTTAGTAGATATCTATTTCCAACAGAGAAATCAGTGTGAAGTTCACACCCCTCAAACAACCAAAATTAATTGATCGTAAACATTTTTAACTCTTTATCAATAAATTATCAACTATTTGTAACCAACTTTTCAAAATTTGTAACTGCGTTTCTAAATTAACCCAAATTTAAATGCTTAAGAAATATTAGAGTAAACACAAAGTTTATATTTAACAATTCAGAGAAATGAAATTAAAAATATAATTTTGCATATTTTTGATTTTAGTACTATTTCTGTGTCTTTTGAGATAATTTTACATTTTTTCATATTTTTAATGAAAATTGATCATATTTTATGGAATTAGGTTTTAATATATGTGTATTTGATTATCATCTGACTTTAGAAGTAAATATAGATAAAGTAAATAGATCGATGCGAGCTGCGAGCAGTAGCCTTCATAATTTTGTATTATTTCACATTTGGTATTTAATTTTAGATTCTGATCTACTGAGCAGAGCGATGAATGTATTGATTTTACAAAGATGTATTTTTTTTTTTTTGTGTCTCATGACGGTTTGAAAAAAAAACAAATTCGAAAAACAGGTTTTGCGTAAAAATCACAATTTTTGTCGTATTATATTACATTATATTTTAAAACCTTTTTGCCGTATTATAATATTCTTGTATTTGACTGTATAGTGTCCACATACTATATAGTAAGTTTGGATACCTATAAATTGGATCATACCTAACCGTACACACGAAGACCTAAAATTATCGCCAATATTTGACACAGCGCAGCAATGTACCGATTTTGCCTATACTATACGCCGGTAACAATATGTTTTTGTGAATGTGTAATATTATCACAGATTCTATAAAAATGTATTTAATGAATATAATAAGTTATATAAATCTTATATTTCTATAGGCACGATTTTTTTTTTAAATTAAATTTTTTTTAAAGTTCAAAATTTATCAAAATCTCGAAAATGTTCAAATTATTTTGTAGTTAAAAAATGACAAAGAAATGTTCGATTTTTATAGCTAAGGATTGAAAATTTAAAACTAGCCTAACTATAACCTCCTAGGATTGTCACATATAGCTCATACCGTAACCAACAAATCTAAAAAATATATATTAAAAACACAACTATTTTTATAAGTATTTATTAAGTTCAAATTTGACAAAATTTATCGAAATCTCTTAAATTAACGATTATCAAACAATTTTACTATTTACATAATTTGAAGTAGGTGCAACAAAAAAGCAGAATTGACTTTGTTGAAATCCGAAGTCATTAAGTATTTCAGTTTTCCGCTGTCAGTTTTTCCCAAAATTATTAAGTAGCTAGGTACCTTCAACTTCCTGTTTCGGATAATTCTGTGTTATACTGTACCTATAATTAGGTTTTCTGAAAAATTCTACTCGATATTGATAGTTGCACGAAAAAATATATTATCAGCTCAAAACACTTACTGACAGACAAAAACACCATAAAATAAAATCAGACAAAAGTAGCAGCATTAAAAATTTAAAACGGTAATAGACAATACAATAAAAAATAAGTACCTACCTACGAAATTTGTCTAAATTACGAAAATAAGCAATTCACTCTATCATTATAATGATATTTTACTTTAAATAACGTATTTTCCAGCTTACAATCACCCACAGTACAATCTCTGGCGGTCGTTGGATTCTTTCAAGTTTCCTTCGGCTCAACCAGTGTCCGTATGATACATAAGTGGATGGGTGACCGTTTTTGTTTGCTCTTTTTTCTTTATTTTTACTTTTTATACAATTATTGTTTGTGATTAAAAAAGTTTAAACATTTAATAAGAAGTGCCTTCTACATTTTTCATGCGACTAATTCTATAGTTATTATTCGTAGGGAAGTTGGAACTAAGGCGTCGGTCAAAAAACTTGAAAATTAAAAAAAGGCTAAACGGATCATTTGCCCATGACTATTCGCATTCAAGTTTCTCACGTGTATGCCCTAAAATTTACATTGGCAAATATTTTAAAAATCATATAATATTATATATGTATATGGGGTCGGCATGGCACACAGTAAGGAAATTCCGGATTCCTGGAAAGGTTATCGAATTTCTTAAATTTAATTTGTCAATACCCGATATCGTTAGTAGATGTCACATCGTCAATCGTCACGACGTCACTGATTCACAGGACATGGTGATTTTTTAAGCAGCTCAACCCTATTTTAATGCTCAATTTATGATTTTTTCAATTTTTCAAGGTACGATTTCATAATAATTTCATAATAAAATATAAATTTATTTTTAATTTAGTAATTTATTATTATAAATGTATTAGATATTATAAATGAGGTAGGTAGACTAATAATGGGTTTCAAAGACAATAAAGTAAACAAATCAATTTAATTAAATGTATTATTCACAAAACAAAGTAGGTACCTACATTTTTTTTAGTTCCTGTGCAGAGCGATGAATGAATTGATTTTACAATGATGTGTGTTTTTTTAATTTATTTTTTTTATTGTGTATGTGTGAACGAAATGTAGTCGAAATAATGCTTCAATTTTCAACTTTAGTATATTGTCCGACGGGAAAGTGAATCTAGTTGGTGCATTTGGAGGTTTTTTTTCCAGTAATTTTCAAAAGCACCGGGTTAAACAAAAAAAAAAAAAAAATTAAGGAAAATCGGGAAATTTTATGCAAAATCTGTTTTTGATCCACCCAATTTATTTTGGTTTTTTGTGTAACACTAAAACATAATATAACCGTAGAAACATAACATTTTCACTGGTTGTTCATATTAGCATTTTCTATACACCATAAAAATTTGAATATAATAAATTTAATATAAGGCTTTTAATATATTGCGTAAATAGCAGTTTATAAATATTAAATATACATACGTACAATTTTTTTTTATAAATATTTAATGTTCAAATTTTGACAAAATGTGTCAAATTAAAAAATTAAAATATGAGTTTGTAGTTAAAATTTTAATATTTAATCATTTTTCTTATACAATGATATTATATTATATATTGTATATCGGCCTATAATGACATTGTGATGAGTTTTGGGAGAGCTGTCAGACGCAATCCACGGTCATTTGATCGACACGAAAACCCTCGGCGAGGACCGTTGTGTCAGCAGGCAGATCGTAATAATAGTAATAATAATATTATATTGTTGTTACCGCACTCGCGTTACCCACTATATATTCGGCTCATTTCGTGTGAAGACATAAAACCCATTCGTTGTATATAATATATGCAACACTGTCACTTGAATTATAACTCAAGCCGTACCCTCGAGGACGCCACCACAAGCGTATATAGAGACCCGAAGAGACAATTTTAGACGTACATCAACCCCCCCCCCCCCATTTGGAATTTTTGTAAATTTTCTTTACCAATATTTAGAGCGATCGTTTAGTGCACTAAAACGAATTAAAAGTTATTTTCGATTGAGGATGACTGATGAACGACTAAACAGTATCGCCATATTAAACATCGAATCAGATATTACAAAAGGTTTAGACTATGATGATATAATCAATGAGTTTAGTTCCTTGAAAGCTCGAAAAAAGAATATGTAAATTTTAAATATTTATTGTTTTGTAATTATAGTTGATAATAATTAATAACTAAACCTATTTTATATTAAATATTTAAAGGTGATTAATTTATAAAAATAACATAATGTTTAAAGTTTGAAATCTACTTTTTTTTTTTTTTACTAACTTTTGTTCTAAAAAGGATACGATAACGGGTTGTCACCGGAAAGTAAGCTTCAACGCTCTCGGTAGTTTGAAAAAGTCAAATAATTTTTTTTTGTGGAGGGGGGGGGGGCGGAAAAACATTGGCACCCGGGCGCCAAATTTCTGAATACGTCTCTGAATATGGTATAAATATACAGCTAATATAATATTATGCATCTTGCTATAATTGAATTATTAGTAACTTTTCCGTTTTAAATGTAACGAAATAATAAAAAACCTATAATGATAAAATAACTGCACTACGCACTGTGGTCTGAAACGTTATTTAAGGAGCTCAAAATTCCTATTTTTTAACACAAGAGGGTCACTGTAATGTGTTATGGATGCTGTTAAATTTGAATTTAATGATATAATTCGATTTTCAACTTCAGTATCTTGTTCGATTGGAAAGTGAATATCGTTGGTGCATTGGTGAAGTCAAAATTTAAAATTCCCAGTAATTTTCAAAAGCGCCAAGGAAAATAAAAGAAAAATTAAGGAATAACGGGAATTTTTACGCAAAATCGATTTTTCACAAACTTGAATTTGGTTTTTGGTGTAACTTTAAAACAAATGATATATGAAAATTTCACTGAATGTTTATTTTATCGATTCTTGTACTTGATAAAATTTTCAAAATATTTTGA